ACCACTGCCTGTTTTTTTTTTTTTTTTCAAATGGAAGATAATTTCTGGGAAAAAAATACTTTTGCATTAGAAGATTTCGACTCGGGCTGGAGAGATGGCTCAGTGGTTAAGAGCACTGACTGCTCTTTCAAAGGTCCTGAGTTCAATTCCCAGCAACCACATGGTGGCTCACAACCATCTGTAATGGGATCTGATGCCCTCTTCTGGTGTGTCTGAAGACAGCTACAGTGTACTCATATACATAAAATAATTCTTAAAATAAATAAATAAGCGTTTAAAAAAAAAAAAGAAGATTCCGACTCCCTTTGAATATGTTACAGTTTGTATGACTGATGTTCGAGATGCATGCTGCTTCAAATAATCAACTGGGCACATCAAAATGTTTATAACATTTCAGTCACTGTTTTATTTAAGGGCATCAAATCCAAACATCCAAAATTTCATGAAGAAAAAGGGCTTTGGCAACGATTTTAGAAGACTAGAATCCTTCTATATTAAAAAGTAAGTCATCTGAAAAGCCTAATCACCTCTGTGGCTTAGTTCTCTGCTTTACTTTCCCATCTCCTCCGCCCCTTACCAAAGTGGAGCCACGGACACCCACTACAGGAGGCAGCGAGCGCTGTACCCTGCTCTCCTTAGAGTGGTGAGCATTTGCAGTAACTGCTGACATAGAGGGAGAAGCCATCTGCTTTTTGAGAACTCAGCTCCGAGCCCTGGCTGCCCTCAGTCTTCTGCACTCTCCAGGTCTAGAACTTTCTCCTGTTGTCCTAGGTGACCTGGGGCATCTTTTGCTCCTTACCATAGCTGCACACAATGTCGGGGCTGATTAGAGCTGAAGGCTGCTGTGGCTGCATGTCCAGCATTACACAGCCAGGGGGTTGGGACTGAAGTGGTGGCTGCCTTGTTAGAAAATACAGACAGAGCACTTCTGAGAGTTTGAAGGACAGTGCTTTCCTCTGGGAATCAGCACATTTTTTTCCACAGGGACCAGACCACCCTTCGGCATCATGGGCCATGTGGAATTGCAAATCTTTTAAAAAAAGAAAGTTAAAAAGAAAGCGTTGCAGATTTAAAAAAAAAAAACAAACCATTCTTAGCTTAGCCATAAAAGCTGGCTACAAGCTATGGTTTTCTAGGCTCTACTCTGCACTACCCATTTGGGAAGCTCAGAGTGAGTTCACACTGGTCCTATTAAGCTTTTGTGTGATACTGTTTCTTTCCCTTTTTTTTCTTCTTCTTTTTTTGGTTTTTTCGAGACAGGGTTTCTCTGTGTAGTCCTGGCTGTCCTGGAACTCACTCTGTAGACCAGGCTGGCCTCGAACTCAGAAATCCGCCTGCCTCTGCCTCTTAAATGCTTGGGATTAAAGGCTTGCGCCACCACCACCTGGCTTTCTTTTCAAGTGTTTGTTATTGCCTAACTGCAAATCTGTGCCAGCTAACAGCTGAATGTTATTGATGTGACATGACAGACTAGGTGACAGTTTCCTGTCTTCCAAGAAACCTTTGGAAACCTAAGAGATTGCTAGAGTTCTGTTGGGACAGTTTTATGTGAGTTTGAGACCACTTCTTCCTAGTTCTGAGACCAGTACTTACCTCTACTATGCTAAGTTCCAAAACATGAACTATGTGAGTTGCTACCCAGCTTTGTTTGGTTCTGCTACACCAGAGGTTCTCAACCTGTCGGTAGTGACCCCTTTAAGACAACTGGAAATGCCAGATACTTACATTATGGCTAATAACAATAGCAAAATTAGTTATGAAGTAACAACAATAATAATATTATGGCTGTGGGTCAGTACAGCATGAGGAATTATACTTAAGGGTTGCAACATTGGGAAGGCTGAGAACCATTGCTCTATAAAGATGTGTCACACACACACACAGACACACACACACACACACACACACACACACACACACACACACGGAAGGGCGCTCAGTTGAGGCTGAGCACCCTGAGGCGTTCCTGAGGGACCTCTCTGCATGTGTGGCTGGGTTTCACAAATCACACTGGGACAGTCTGGAGAAGGAAGGGCAGCTGCATCTAAAGAGTGAGTGTCTCAGCAGGCTGTGAAGTGACTGGAGGACTCTGCCACACTGTTTAAAGAGGTGAACTGTAAGATGTAAGGGAAGCTTACATATGAGGAAGACAAAAATAGATCACAATTTAAAATTAAGTTTTCTATGTAGGAGGGTAAGCCGTGTATCCTGAGCATGGAGCATTAATTGGGTAACTCTTGCCTGTAGTATTTTAAGGGAGTTTACTTTGTGTGTGCAGTTTTAGTCTAATCAGCAAGATATAACTTCAAGTTGTCTTGAGGTTGAAGAATTTTTTCCCTTTCCCATGTCCCCTTCCCCTCTTCCTACCTTTCTATGCTGCCTCGACTACACAACGTAGCTGGTTCTCTATAGCCATGTATGTAATACTTAGATATGGTACCTTGCAACACTGCATGTTCTTGGTAGAAAACACACATGTTTTAAGAGTGTTAACTTTGTGATCCTAAAGAACTGTCCATGTTTTCAATGTTAGGATTTTGGATATTATTACGTCCTTAAAGAAGAGCTCCATTGTGTGGCAAGAAGTGTTTGATGATAAGGTGGAGGTAAGGAGTGTGCAGGCTTGTCTCAGCCTGGAGTGACGGCTGGGGGGGTGGGGGGGCTGTCTGCTGTGCCAGCCAGAGGACTGTGGGCCCTAGCACCTGCTTCAGAGTTGACTGTTCTGTCAGCAGTCAGGACAGACGGACGGAGGAAGGGCTGAAGGGCCCATTGTTCACTGCTACAGACAGACTCAGGGAGAAGAGTCATTACTTAGTTGTGCACTCCTGGTGATCCTCCCTGGCTCCTACAGACAGTACCAGTGCAGTGCTCACACAGAACTAAAACTCACAGCCATCAGTCTGCCGAAGCGACTGAGGGAGATTCAAGGCAGAAAGTAGTCGGTACCATCATATTCATATATTGTCAAGAACAAACTTAAAAAAGAGCCAAGCATGACCTAGTGTGTACCTGTAAGCCAAACACTGTCAGGCATTAGGACAAGAAGGCTGCTCGCACTTGTTGGCCTCCAGCATGGCTCCAGTTCAGTGAGAGCCTTTCTCAAGGGAATCAGGTGACCAAAGCAGGATGGCAACCCTACCTATGCACACGTACGCACACAACATACTATGCACCTATGCACACATATGCACACAATATACTATGTACTTGATACAAAACTTCATCAGGACTATAGACAACTCACCATCTCCTTCTCCCTTCTTTCCCCAACTCCTGCTGTGCTGTCTCACAAGTTGAAGTAATTTGAATTAAGTTCCTTTTGTTTTTAAGAGCAAAATACAACAAATAAGGTTTAAAAAAACAGTGTTAAAGTGGTTTTAAAATATGTAAAATCAGAGCTGGAGAGATGGCTCACAGGTTAAAAGCACTGGCTGCTCTTCCAGAGGTCCTGAGTTCAATTCCCAGCAACCAAGTGGTGACTGACAACCATCTGTAATGAGATCTGATGCCCTCGTCTGGTGTTCAGGCATACAAGCAGGCAGAATGCTATACACAATAAATAGGTAAATTAATGTGCACTTTTAAGAAATATTTTTTTCTGACAGAATTATTTCTTAAAAACCCAGCTGCTAGTGTTACTTAAGTTAAGTAGAACATTGGTGTGGTAGAAATAGGTTTAAGGTGAAAATCTTACCCATCTCTGAAATATTAGCTATAGACAAAAGTTAAATATCCAACTTTAAAGGTTAATTTGAATAGCACATGGCACTGACTGACCATTAGCAAAAAGAAAAAAGGATGTATAATTTTTCTAAGATCTTAGAGAAATTTATGTTTACCAGTCATGATCCCATAAACCTCTAAGACTGTATTTACTGGACCTAACACTGTGATTGCAATCAATCTGTACCTTCAATAGCTTAAGCCGGGCACAGTGGTTGAAGTGTGGAAGAGCGAACATTACTTAAATGAGCTACAACGCGTCACGGCATCTGGCTTGCCTGCCATCCTTTCTGCTCCTTGGTACTTGGACCTGATTAGCTATGGGCAAGACTGGAAAAACTACTACAAAGCTGAGCCCCTTAATTTTGAAGGTAAGCAGAGCAAACATGGCTGCTGGTGTCTTCCGTAAGCCCGCTCTCTCCTCCCGAGTCTAATCTGGATGCTGCTCTACGAGCCACTGCATATCTGATCTTCGATTTTATTTAAAATAAAATTTGATATCATTTTACGTTCTGAAAGGAACAACGTGTAGTCCAAATGAAATACATAATAGACCCTTATATTCTGCCTCCGTTTTCATGGAGCTGCTTCTTGTATCTGAGATGTTTGAGTGTGTTAGCTTTGAAAGACACCTATGATGCGTAGAGCACCTAAGTAACATTTTGGTCCCTTTATTAGCAATTCTACTTTATATAGTTTTTGTATTTCAGTCTTTAGAAAATGATTATATGATTAAAAGTTTCAAGAATATTGATCCACTAGAAACTATGACTTTCTCTAGAAAGCATTTTGAGAATCAAAACATAATTATAAAAAATAGTTCTTAGATATTCCTTTTTGTTTTGTTATGAAATACCAAGGAATATAAATCAAAGATAGGTATAGTGGTAAACCCATTAGAATGAAGCTAATATTCCAACTTGTATTTTCTGGCACACCACTAATAGGAAATGTGGGGAGAGGTTGAATGTATTGTCCATTTTGTTTGTGTAGGACCCTAGGAAAAGTCTCTACCCCAAGCTCACCACAATCCTCTGTTATGTTGAATAGCACTGGGCCAGGGTGGGAATAAAGGCTGCCTACAGGAGGGTACGGGGCGGTAATGTAGGATGACTCTAGGAAGGAAGTGTTGTACAGCTTAACCTCTCTCCCCTAACCATTGTAATGCAGGTTCTGAGAAGCAGAAACAACTTGTTATTGGTGGAGAGGCTTGCCTATGGGGAGAATTTGTGGATGCAACTAACCTTACTCCAAGATTATGGTAAGGAACTGAAGGATGCACGCCTTGGCTTTTATTCTCCATGTAAGCAGGGGAGCTCTTAAGAATCTCCTCATGTAGGTGACTTAAGGAAAAAAGAAATATAAACTGCTTTGGGAGCCACATATTTCAAATTTCAGGCCTCGGGCAAGCGCTGTTGGCGAGAGACTCTGGAGCCCTAAGACTATCAGTGACCTAGAAAATGCCTACAGCCGACTGACAGTGCACCGCTGCAGAATGGTCAGGTGAGGCACTGTCTTCCGGATCCAGGAGATCCAGGATCGCTTAAAGTCCAGCATTCAGTGTAACTAGCCCCTGTGAGATATATTTTAGTATAACTGCCATCTTCAAGGAGTTAATACCTTAAATAAGAATATTAAATCATTGCAAAAAGTCGGGGGGGGGGTTACTAAGGTGCCATGAGATGGGAGGCCACCCATCTAAAACGTCTCTGTTGTCTATCTACAGCCGCGGAATAGCTGCACAACCTCTCTTTACTGGATATTGTAACTATGAGAATGAAAGGGAAAAGTGACAGACGTCTACAGCACTCCAGCTATAATCATTCTGAAATCATGTAAATTAACATTTGTTAGGCTGTTTTTTAAATAAACCATCTTTTTATTGATTGAATCTTTCTATACCTGAATCAAACACTGAATACTGACATCTTTTATGTAAACAGCTTAAAAAAATAAAAGGGAAAGCTTTGCAGTAGCACTCAGTACTCCAGAGGACTGCACTGCGTGCATCTCTTCGTCATCGCAATGCTTTAAATGAGAAATGCTGGGCTAGAAAGAAGGCTCATAAGAGCACTTGCTACTCTTGCAGAGGACCCGAGTTCAGTTCCTAGATCTTCATAACCACACCATATTTCCAGTTCCAGGGGGATGTAACATCTACGTCTGACTCCCACAGCCACCAGGCATACATGTAGGCAAAACATTCAAAGGAAGGAAGGAAGGAAGGAAGGAAGGAAGGAAGGAAGGAAGGAAGGAAGGAAGGAAGGAAAGGTTAGGTTTAAACGAGATATGTTCTTCATAGGCCCAGGCTTTGGGACTCGTGCTCCCAGGGGGTGGTGCTTTTTACGGAGATTTAGGCAGTGTAGTCTTGCCTGAGGAAGTTCATCACTAGGTGGACTTTGAGCCTTCATCGCCTGGCCCTACATCTCGTCTACACTCTGCTGAGAAAAGAAACCCTTCTCTAAGCTGTCCTGACCAGATTATTTTGTCACAGCACCAGAGAAGTAAGAGACAACCTGGCCCCAGCTGTGGTGCATTATAGCAAAGTACATTCAACAGTATTAGAAAGGCAGCTCCCAGGCCATTCTGCCATGTTTCGTCAAGTTCTTTCCACACTGGAAGCAGGAGTTCACCAGCCAGTTAATAGGACAGCACTCTTACTGAGAATAAAGCCAGCAATCCCCGTTTCCAAGGACCTACAGCACATGGGCCAAACCACTTCTCTGGGTGAGTAGAGTACTTTGGTCTTGAGGACTCATGGCTTGATAAGTAGACAGTTCTAAGGCAAAAGTAGCTGAGCCTGATGTCAGGGTTCGAAGCACAGTCGAATATCCCTAATGAAAAAAAATTCAGTTTGTTACCACACTTAAGATAGTCCACAAGATAAGAAATGTAAGGCTTATCTTTAGAAATACTGTGGCAGAAACAGCATAGGGAAGGTGAGCAGTGCATGCATTCTGAGGCCCAGGAGTCTGGGCGTTGACTCTGTCCTTCCTCCCCGACTGTCAGTATCCCTCATGCCTATCCTAGGGGTAGAAGTCCTGGTTGTGGAAGAGAATGATGCTGGCCCCAAAATTTAGCAGAAAAGGAAAAATGGATGGATGTGGGGAAGACAGTTAACAGACTGACCACATTTTGGTACAGTGCACCTTAATCTTTGTGGTCCTATGGTTGGAAGTAACCTGCCTGAAATGCAGTGTTCCCTAGTTCTCAACCACCACTGAAGGCCAAAGTTCTGCCATCCATGGTGGTTGACACCTTGGGGTGCATGGCTGACACCTTGGGGTGCATTTTCTAAACCCAAGCTGGATGCCTGCAGGTGTCGGTGATCATCTAATTTCCCTCGAACTGCATCTCCGAGTAAACAATATGTACATTTCAAACGCAAACAACTTACCATAATTTCTGCTAAAGGAACAAATCCTAGAACAACTTTGTTGTCTTGACGACTCTGAATTTCCTGGATGTTCCCTCTTCTTTGTGCCAAATCTGCCAGGACAGGGCTGAGGTATTCTCTACTCACTGTGACCTCAAGACTCATCAGAGGTTCCAGCACCTGCTTGTCAGCTTTCTTCAGGGCCTAAAGAGATTTCATAAGCTGAACAAATTTCTATTTCAGTACAAGGAAGATACAGAAAGACTGAACCATGTCCTGTATTCCTGAGCAGAGGACTCTAAGAAGCTCACTGGCTTTAATGCTCCACAGAGAACACTATATAAGGAGCCAAGAAGTTAATGCTTACACTAGTGGCCACATGCTAGAAAGAACAGCAGAGGAGAGCACTTTAAAAAGCCAACAAAGCCAATCGTCAGGACAACTGTCTATTACAGTTTATTTTAGACTTCATAGGCCACATAAGGAAGCTGAAAATATTTTCAAGATAAAATAATCATGTGGGAAAAGGTAAATATAAGAGAAAAATGCTACCATTAGGGACTGGACTCCCAGAACTGCCCTCCATCCTTTTTACAGTCTTCTGAACAGTACCTCACTGCAGAGTTTCAGAACAAGACTGTGTGGCTTCAACAGCAGTTCCAGCCCACCTCTGAGGACTCCAGCCTTGCCCTCCACTGACCTGCTGTGGGGCAGTGTGTGGATACCCTGCAGCTCCCCTGTGTGCCCCAAACCTAGCTCAGCAGTTTCTTTTCCAAGCCCTTCTCTGGCCTTTCTTATTTGCTGATGGCTGGCATTAGTAGTTTTCAGCTTGCTTATATATACTTCTCCGATTTCCTTTTTCCGGCAAACAGCAGTATTCCTATTCCTGTTGCTGGTGTCTTAACTCAGACCTAGTCTATTTCCTGTATGTCCTAGAACGTCTTTCGCATGCCAATTACTTCTGTGCTCTGACTATACTTCACTGTTCAAAAAATTTATTCTCCATTGTTCCCAGAACACAGTTAATTAGTGCTTGAAAGTTTCATATGACATCCCTTTACTCTCCAGCGCTAGGCTAGGGTACTCCCACGCTGGTGAGTCACTGAGGCAGGAAGCAGAAGGCCATGACACTCAAGGACAACTCAGGTGATCACATGCTTGATACTTTGAGAGGGAAGATGCTTGGCCTAAATCTGTTGTTCAATGGGACTGATTTGGATTTTTTAATAAAAGCAATATTATTCGGACAAATTTGAAAATTTGAAATTAAGGGTTGGAGAGATGGCTCAGCAGTTAAGAGCACTGTCTGCTCTTCCAGAGGTCCTGAGTTCAATTTCCAGCAACCACATGGTGGATCACAACCATCTATGGTGGGATCCAATGCCTTCTTCTGGCATGCAGGTATATGTAAAGATAGAGTGCTCATATACATAAAATAATCTTCAAAAAGAAATTGAAAAAAAAATTTAATTATTTATTTATTTTATATATATGCATGCACTGTCACTGTCTTCAGACACACCAGAAGAGGGCATCGGATTCCATTACAGATGGTTGTGAGCCACCATACGGTTGCTGGGAATTGAACTCAGGACCTCTGGAAGAGCAGTCTGTGCTTTTAACCACTGAGCCATCTCTTGAGCCCCAAGAAATTGAAATTAATATTAGATTTCCACTGTCCTTGACATTAAAGCCCAATGTCAAGCTGACCTCAGATCTATTTAAATCCACCAGGCGTGAGGGCTGGAAAGATGGCTTACCGGTTAAGAGCATTGGGTAGTCTTCCACAGGACCTGGGAATTCAATTTCCAGCACCCACATAGCAACTCACACATGTCTGTTAACTCCAGTTCTAGAGCTTCTGATACCCTCATACAAACATACATGTAGGCAAACGCCAATGCACATAAGATAAAAATAAATTATCTATTTTTTATTCCCCTCCCCCTAACCAGGCTTGTAGCTAATTGCTATTTTTGGAAACAGGAAAACATAGATCTTTTGCTAAAATCAGAATGTTTTGTTTAATCTGTCTGAGCAGTAATTTCTAAAATTTTTCAAATGAAAATTTAGTTTAAGAAATCAGAGTCACCATATAAGAGCTAGTTTAAAAGTTTTCAATTACATTTGTGTGTGGTGTGTGCTCATGAGCACCACAGTATGTATGTGGAGGTCAGAGGACAGCTTTCCCAAGTCGGAAGGTCTCTGTACGATGCAGTTCCTGAGGATGAAACTCAGAATCAGGCTTGGTAGTAAATACCTTTACCCAGTGAGCCATCTGGATGGCCCCATGGCGACCTAAGGTCAAGCTCTGTGGCACAGCTGCCTGTGGAATCTGTGGGGCTGGACTCAGTGCACTTCCTAACGCAGAAGCATGAGGAGTGCTCCATACCTTCTGTATACATCGTGAGATGCAGGCAGTCACCATAGTTGTGGAGGTGCCAGGGTGAATCATAAGCGAGTGTAACGTCATCGCCACGTCCTGGACTGGGGATCCAAGCAAAGGTCCTGAGAGGGGGAAATGCAGCACAACTATATATGCAGTAACAGAGAGTAATGAAGCAAGAACTCAAGGACAACACAGAGAACACTGACATGTCTGTAACACAGGGACTAACTGGAAGGTGAGGAGTGTGGCATCAAGGCAGAGTCCACTCTAGTATGCCCAAGATCCTGGCTCAAACTCCAGCATGAGGGGATAAAGGAGAAATTAAACAGTCAGCGGGAGACAGAACTTCGTCCCTCACCCTGGAGGCATGCGCTGTGGACAGCACTTTCAATGGCCTCCCGAGAGGCCTGCAGCAGGTCTTCACCCACACAGTCTGCGTACTCGATCGTGGCCATGGCACTCGGCTCTTCCGCTGGCCGGACTTCCAGCTCCGCTCTCACGAAATGCCGCTTGTCTCCTAGCACCCTATCGAGGGTATCTGAGGACAAACACATTGAAATGCGTGAAAAGTAAAGACATGTCTGCACACAATGCTCAACTTTTGGCCAAGAAAATGAAGGAAGCCAAGGAAAGATGCCAGAAACAGACTGGCCCAGGATGTAGGCTGCCCTCACTCAGACCGCCTGCATCTAAGTCTGAGTCTACTCAAAACGAAGTCTTTAAGAGTATCAAGTCAACGACTACACCTCGGAAAAGGTAACAGTCAAATCGTAAAACATCTAGAGAGCACAAAAAGCTGATAATGAAAGCTATAAAACTTATTCCTCTGCCAATATCCAAACTTAAATTTCCTATATTCTTTCAGCAATATTTACTGTTTCTTCCCCTCCTCCCCCAAAAACTAATAAAGTATTTCACAGGACACGCAGTGAGGACACTGAAGACAGCAGATGCGTGCCCTATGCACATCTGTCTTCAGTGTCCTCACTGTGTGTGTCCTGTGCACATCTGCTGTCTTCAGTGTCCTCACTGTGTGTCCTCTACACATCTGCTGTCTTCAGTGTCCTGTGTGCCCTTTGCACATCTGCTGTCTTCGGTGTCCTCACTGTGTGTCCTGTGCACATCTGCCTTCAGTGTCCTCACTGTGTGACCTCTGCACATCTGCTGCCTTCAGTGTCCTCACTGTGTGCCCTCTGCACATCTGCTGTCTTCAGTGTCCT